TGCTACGTAGCATGATAAATACAACCCACAGTAGAATAAATGAACATAAATATGAGGGAGGTATACCATCTTTTAGAAGTGAAGAAGAGCAGGATGTGAGTGTGGGGGAGGTGCGTGAGGCATTACATAGAATGAAAGGGGGTAAAGCAGCTGGAACTGACGGGATCATGACAAATGTTAAAACCAGGAGGGATATAGTGTTGGAGTGGTTGGTATTTTTGTTCAATAATCGTATGAAAGAGGGGAAGGTACCTAGAGATTGGCAGAGAGCATGTATAGTCCCTTTATATAAAGGGAAGGGGGACAGAAGAGATTGTAAAAATTATAGAGGAATAAGTTTACTGAGTATACCGGGAAAAGTGTACGGTAGGGTTATTATTGAAAGAATTAGAGGCAAGACAGAATGCTGGATTGTGGATGAGCAAGGAGGTTTTAGAGTGGGTAGGGGATGTGTAGATCAAGTGTTTACATTGAAACATATATGTGAACAGTATTTAGATAAAGATAAGGAAGTTTTTATTGCATTTATGGATTTAGAAAAGGCATATGATAGAGTGGATAGGGGAGCAATGTGGCAGATGTTACAAGTATGGAATAGGTGGTAAGTTACTGAATGCTGTAAAGAGTTTTTATGAGGATAGTGAGGCTCAGGTTAGGGTGTGTAGAAGAGAGGGAGACTACTTCCCGGTAAAAGTAGGTCTTAGACAGGGATGTGTAATGTCACCATGGTTGTTCAACCCTTTCAGGGTCGACAGGCCCTCTCCCAGACTTGTTCTCAGGGTCGCCCAACTTTCAAAAAAAAAAAAAAAAAAATTCTTATGAAAAGATAGAGATTCTTTTCCCGATCATGATGACACCAAAAGTGTGAAATTTGATGGAAAACTTATGAAATTATGCTCTCATGAAGTTAGCGGTCTAGGCGATGTTTACGCATCAGCGATTTTGCCCAATTTGAGGCCTATTTTCGGCCAATTCCAGTGTACTAGTCGACAAAAGTTATAACTATTTCGCTAGAACTCCATTTTTTCAATCGAATGAGTACAAGAAACCACTCATTTACCGATTTCAACTATCCAATACAGTGGTCAGAATTTAGCAATTTTGCCAATTTCACACAAATTTCAAAAGATGTCAATTTTCGAATAGGGTCCAGAATAAACAAGAAAGACATTCCTGGCACTAAAATAACATTTCCTCTTTTCATTAGTCATGTCCCCACGCCCCTCTTACATTCTTTTGCTTTCCACTTTGAATTTTTATTCTCACAAAAAAATAGAAGATTTACTGTTATGCATTACTGTAGAAATGGTATAAATAATATCAGCGCACTTGTGAAATAATATTACACTCACCAGTTGACGTGTATTGGACACACAGCATGTTTTGTTTACTTTTGAACTTTGGTAAAAATCGAACATTTCTGCTACTTTGAGCTCAATTTCAAGGTACTTTTCATTGTAAAACCAGTCAAAATCATCTCAATTTTTGTAATATGTCTTCCATTCTATAAAATGAGACCAGGAAAACTAGAATACAACAGTAAATACCATACGAAAATGCAGTGCAAAGTCGCTGTTTTAATCCAAAAACACGGTCAAAGTTTTTTTTTCTCATTACACAGTGTGTGCTGCAGGATTTTTTTTATACTGTGCACACTGACCACATAGACCTATTCTTTCATATGTAGGCCTACCAGCTTTCTCTCACTAGATTTGAGGGCGCTAGAATTTAGGCGTACTAGTACGTCAAAAACCGTGGTGCGTAAGCCGTACTAGTTCATCCGAAACCCTGAAAGGGTTAATATATTTATAGATGGGGTTGTAAAAGAAGTAAATGCTAGGGTGTTCAGGAGAGGGGTGGGATTAAATTATGGGGAATCAAATACAAAATGGGAATTGACACAGTTACTTGTTGCTGATGATATGTACTGTGCTTATGGGAGATTCTAAAGAAAAATTGCAGAGGTTAGTAGACGAGTTTGGGAGTTTGTGTAAAGGTAAAAAGTTGAAAGTGAACATAGAAAAGAGTACGGTGATGAGGGTATCAAATGATTTAGATAAAGAAAAATTGGATATCAAATTGGGGAGGAGGAGTATGGAAGAAGTGAATGTTTTCAGATACTTGGGAGTTGATGTGTCAGCGGATGGATTTATGAAGGATGAGGTTAATCATAAAATTGATGAAGGAAAAAAATTGAATGGTGCTTTGAGGTATATGTGGAGACAAAAAATGTTATCTATGGAGGCAAAGAAGGGAATGTATGAAAGTATAGCAGTACCAACACTCTTATATGGGTGTGAAGCTTGGGTTGTAAATGCTGTAACGAGGAGGCGGTTGGAGGCAGTGGAGATGTCCTGTCTAAGGGCAATGTGTGGTGTGAATATTATGCAGAAAATTCGGAGTGTGGAAATTAGGAGGTGTGGAGTTAATAAAAGTATTAGTCAGAGGGCTGAAGAGGGTTTGTTGAGGTGGTTTGGTCATTTGGAGAGAATGGATCAAAGTAGAATGACATGGAGGGCGTATAAATCTGTAGGGGAAGGAAGGCGGGGTAGGGGTCATCCTCGAAAAGGTTGGAGGGAGGGGGTAAAGGAGATTTTGTGGGCGAAGGGCTTGGACTTCCAGCAAGCGTGCGTGAGCGTGTTAGATAGGAGTGAATGGAGACGAGTGGTATTTGGGACCTGACGAGCTGTTGGAGTGTGAGCAGGGTAATATTTAGTGACAGGATTCAGGGAAACCGGTTATTTTTATATAGCCGGACTTGAGTCCTGGAAATGGGAAGTACAATGCCTGCACTTTAAAGGAGGGGTTTGAGATATTGGCAGTTTGGAGGGATATGTTGTGTATCTTTATACGTATATGCTTCTAAACTGTTGTATTCTGAGCACCTCTGCAAAAACAGTGATGATGTGTGAGTGAGGTGAAAGTGTTGAATGATGATGAAAGTATTTTCTTTTTGGGGATTTTCTTTCTTTTTTGGGTCACCCTGCCTCGGTTGGTATTACAACCCAGGATTTCAATTGGCCTGTTATCCTGGGTGTAGAGGGAGCAAAATAAACACAGTAGAAAACTTTTGACTTATATTATCCTTCACCAATTTAGAATAGAAGTATGTACACTATATACACTATGTACAGCAATAGGTATTAGTGCACTCCACGGTAAGCAAGGCAGAATAGAAGCCACTAGAGAGCAGACCGTGCTTCAACCAGCTCTAGAATGAGAATGACAAGGGCAGACAGGAGAGTGGTACCCACATAACCTCTGCGATTGCCAAAACCATCTTCTGATTGGCTGGAACCTAGGTACTGGTTGAACGACGGGGCCCCATCATCAACCCTCAGTCACCTGGTTCGCTGGTTGGGGGAGATAGCCTGTAAATGAGGGTGTGTACATGCGCTGAATAAAGGTTACGTACTCTTTGCATGTCACAGTGGGAGACTGCTGACTTGTTGAAAAAAAAAAATATGAGATGTTTTTCCAGTTGTCTTGTCGGAGTGTCGGAAAGTATAATATTTTCTCTAGTCCAACACCAGAAAATGTGTACACAATAGCATTACTGGGGGTAACTGTAGAAAATTATTTTTTCATATGCCTTCACTCAGAACATCATTCCTTCTATAAATGGTGTGTTACATGAAAATGGAAGTGTTGCTCTTCATTTATTCTACTGTACCAGTGTGGAGACAACTTGTACACAATGTAAGGTGTGTGTATTATGGTATAAGCTTCACGAACATGGAAATGAACGTTTATCGGCCATAACCAGGTGAGTTTGTCTGCTTGTTTACATACTCTGTAGCTCTGTCCTTTCTAATTTACTCATTCTCTCTCATTTATTCATTTTTAGCTTATTTACTCACCTCTCACCCTACATTAAGACTACAAATATTTTAAGTAATGAGTGTACTGTATGTGCATTTTATCGCTCCAGGGCGCTCGAAATGTCGTAGTGGGTGGAGTGGCCAGGCAGGCTACCATACCTCCCACACCTGACTTTCTACAAATAAATACTATTTATGTATCACCCTACATTAAGACCATTAAGACTACAAATATTTTAAGGTAAGTAATGAATGTACTGTAAATGGATTTTATCACTCTAGGGTGCAGTGTATTATGTGTGAGTGGGGTGGCCAGGAGGGCTACCATACCTACCACACCTGACCTATTACAGTAAATATTAGTCACCTCTCACTCTCTATTAAGACTACAAATATCTTGAGGTAAGTAATATGTGTACTGTGTGTGTATTTAATTTTTTATTGTTTTTAATGCCTAGTTCTATTGCTAGCTTAATATATACAGTATGTTAGTGTAAACTTATCTGGCATTTATGTGCATTTATAAGTGGAAAAAATGGCATTCTGCTTTCCGACGGTAGCCTGGAACCTAACCTGCCGTATAAGTGGGGCCTTGCTGTATTTAAAAGAAAACTACTACGTATGCAAAGTATTTTGTCGTTGTTTTCTGTATAGCGATAAACATTTTAGATATTCATTTCCCTCATTAAACTAATGCCTTGAAACTGTGTGAATTAAAAGTAAAATTTTCCTTCTTTAATTTCCCAACTATTTCAGTTGATTTTAAATTCGATCTCCTAGTTTTATTTGCTTTCAAATATTTTTCATGTATAGGTAATTTGAGTAATTTATATTTTATTAGATCCTCTTCTACTATTTCAATCTTGTCTCAGAGGAACTCGAGGTAATGTGGAAAACTTAACCCTTGAATTTTGTTCCATAAATTGTCCAGAGGAGATGATGAAAAGGAAATTATAATTTGCTTCAGCAAAAAAAAATGCTTAACCTGAGTGGGTCATTCATTGCTGCAGAGAAGAGTTAATGGGAAATTAAGACTCATTTATCTTCTGTTATATATTTACAAAGTATATTTGCTTGAAAATGTAATATTTTCTGATGTACAGTAATTTTTGTCAAAATGTTGTGTATTTATTGCAATAAATAATTGCTCTGGTATAATTCTTGTTTTCTTCTGTACAGTAAAGGCAGTGTATCATCCCATTTTCTCCACAACCACAACTATCATCACTGTATTGGCAGGCATTGTTGGCGCTGGCCTTGTTGTCTGCTGCCTCTTCACAATTATCATGAAAGCCAAGTCTCGGAATGATACGCCATCCGGGTAAGGCTATGATTGTGAAATGTGTAGCCCCACAAAGAAACTGAAGTTTTGTTCCTAATCTAACTGCATTCATTACTTAATATTGATGAGGGAATGACTGCCATAATTAATTGAATTGACCTGGTTTGTTGTGCTAATTCTGCACCTTGACTTCAGGACCAGCATCCACAGTTAGCATTGTGTAATGAGGGGTTATTTTAAGAAATGTTTATATTCTCCACTACACTGAATGCATGCTGTTTGGTGTCTTTTAAGATAGGTCCATGTCACTCAACACATTCATAATATTAGTTTTCATTGTTAGTTGAATGCATACAGTGGAACCTCAAAAATCGAACTTAATCCATTCCAGGAGCTAGTTCTAAACTCGAAAAGTCTGAAATTCGAAGAAATATTTCCCATAAGAAATAATGGAAATACAATTAATCCATTACAGAAACCCAAAAATATTCACACAAAAAAATTCATTTTATAGAGATTAATTACAGTTTTACATACAACAAATACTATAGTTTTTAATTATGTATAGTAATACATATAAAATAACATTTTTACTTACCTTTATTAAAGATTGGTGATGGCATCTGGAAGGTAGGGAGGAGGAGAGAGAGAGTTGGGGTTAGTGTTTGGAAGGAGTATCCCCCTCCATGAGGACTTCAGGTAAAGGTCTCTCTGGGGTTACTTCCCTTCTCTGTCTTTTAATGCCATTAGGACCAGCTTGAGAGTCACTGGACCCCTGTCTCACAAAATAACTGTCCACAGTCCTCTGTTTCTGGTGCCTCTTTAACATTTCCCTAAAATGGGACATGGTTCTGTCACTGAACTTGTTGCAAAGATGGCTTGTTTCAGCTTGCTCAGGGTGGTACTTCTACACAAACATTTGGACATCATTCCACTTGGCACAAATCTCCTTAATCTTTGAAGAAGGCACCTCATCCACTCCCTATATTAACACCTTTCACAACATCAGCTTCCTTGATTTGTTCTTTCTTTGACAGGATAGAACCGATGGTCGACTTGTTTTTCCCATACATCCTGGCAAGCTCAACAAGTCTCACACCACTCTCATACTTCTGTATTATTTCCTTCTTCACATCTGTGGTGTTTCTCACTTTCTTTACCACAGGGGTACCACTAGCAAGTTTCTTTGGGCCCATGGCAGCTTATTTCACAGTCCCACAAGCACTAAACACAACGAAACAATCGTAAAATGCGTGAATGAGAGCGCAGGTTAGTGTTCACTCAAGCATAAACAAAGCTAGATTGCTCGCGGGCGGCAGACAGGTCCCGTACCTGGCGGTCCGAAAATAAGGGCGCATTTGATAATAGGGACACAGTTTGTCCGAAAAAATGGTCCTATTTTCGAAACGTTCGATATGTGATACGTTCGATTTTTGAGGTTCCGCTGTATTTGCCATGGCTTAATGCAGTATGTATATGGTATTACTTTAATTCTTTTCCCTTAGCTGTTACATGAAGAGTTTAAATTTTGTTCTGTTTGTGATTCTTCTGAAAGCTTGAAAATCATAAAGATTATTTAAACTGAAATTATATTTTCAGAACCCCTGTACCACCAGTTGGACACACTCCAGCTGGTGCAGCACCAAACCTTCAACGGCAACATACTCTTCCACCCTATGAGGCAGTAGTCATGTCTGATGCAAGCCAAAACTGGAAGAGCAGTACTCTGCCATCTCCTGAGGTGGGAGAGTATCCACCTAGTTATCATATGCTTTTTCCAGAGGGCCCACCCAAAGATTTGCAGACAGAAACTGCCCATACCCATGAAGAGACAAATTCTCTAGTTAATAACCCATCTGCCCCATCTGCTCCACCTGCTCCACTTGTTCCACCTGCTCCATAAACTTTCAAAGTGCCAATATAATTTTATACTGATCAAGAACTCGCTAGACTCTGTGGATAAGCTCAGGTTTTCAAAAATGCTAAAATTCTTCTTAGGGGTACTTGTATAGAGGGCATTGGGATAAGTTTTATATGTGGAAAAATTTGCTTATAAATTTTTTTTAAATAATATAGATTTTAAAAGAGTTAAGGATAACTATTTTCATACATGCATTTGACAAGAGGCCTTAATGGAAAGTACAATAATGAAGTTTAATAATAAAAGTACTAGACTGAATATATGAATAGCATGTAAAGTAGCACTCAAACTTTTTTATTCATACTTAGTCTTCTGTGAATGGAAATACCATACCTCGCATAAGGTGTTTACAATAATAACCACATTTTAACTTTGAAAAACAATGTAATTGTGAAAGTGACAGTATCATATCACTGGAGTCTTCAGTAGCTATATAGCATTTAAAATGCAGCATCTAAAGAATGTGTGATTTGCTGAAGGGATTGAGATAATGTGGAATGTTACTAAGATTAGCTTGTAGTCAGTTGTTAGAAATTCAATAGCGAGATATTGCGATTCAAATCACTTTCCACATGAACTATAACTGAGCATGTGTGTAGTATATATATGAGATCTGCTCCATGTACCAATGTTGTTTGCCATATCTGACTGATGCTATCCTCTTTCTGGGATTTGGTTTGAAATACCTGTATGAGGCTCTCCTGTATTTGTCTGAAAGGTTTTTAGCATTTCCTCATGAATATAATAATAATAACTAAATAATACTAAATCTACCTATCAGATAATGTCAAGAGATTATCATTGGCAAAACTGACATTCATGTATAAAGCAACTAGTAGAGAAAAAAAATAAGCCATATAGCTCATATACTATGCATTATATTAGGTACACAAATTTTCTTTTCTTGCAACAAATGTGTGTGTGTAAAAAATAAAATTACATAAAGTGTAATTTTTTGTAATGACAAAAGTTTATATTATCTGTTCACTGTAATCTAGTGACAAGAGTTTAGTAAAGGAAACCAGACAGTGCATTTGATGGCCTACTTAATTGCAGAGTGAATCAGTTTTTATAATCTTTGTGTTGGTAATGACCTCAGTGCATTGAAAGAGTGGTGCCAAGAACAAGACATTGCATGTATAATTGTTTACTGGTGAAGCAAGTAAACTAAAGACACTGGAAAAATGATCGTTTGTTTTTTTTAGTTCTACCACTGATATTTTTTTTATATTTATGTGTCATATATGTACTATATTAATAATATATTTTTAATATGTAGGTTGGAGGTGTTACATTGCTAAGGAAGATTGTCAATTTTACTCAAAATTCTGAAACTGTTTTTTCAGTCAGATAGATATTAGACCTGTTAGTAGTAATAAGCATTATAAAGAATTTTTTTTTTTTGTCATGACAGCATTTACTTTTTTGTTAATACTGTACTTAGAATTTATTTAGTATGTATTACTAAAGTAACAACCAAAAAAGTTAAACCGCCTTTAGCTTAGTCGCTCTTATTTTGTTATTGGGATTATGCAGGAGTACAAAGAGAAAGGTTTATACATACACATAAGTATGGTAAAACTGGCATAAAATAATTACATATGAATTGTAGATAATTCTCAATTTCATCTTTCACATCCTTGGAAACTAAGGATTCAAGTCAAGAGTGATAACCAGGCACCTTCTTTTTTTTTTTACTCGTTTGGTGTGTGTATTTTTACTTTAAATACCAGCAAGTTGGCTAACCCCAAAACACACTATAATTAGCTTGAATTTGTTAAAATTTACATATGAGTTTAGAACTTCCTGTAATATATAACATTTCAGAACTCTTTTTGCGTTTATTTCAATAACCGATTGATTTTCATTTAGCAAAGGACTCCATTCAAAAATTTACGCTTATCATGACTCATAAACTGTTAAGTTGTAGGGATCCAAAACATTCATGCATATATAGTGATATTTTTCCTGTTACTGTTACCCTTATGGCAAATAACTTTGCAGATAATTGGGATTTGGGTATTTAAAGTTATATGCTAGTTTCACGTAGACTTCTTCTTTCAACAAACCAGCCGTATCCCACCGAGGCAGGGTGGCCCAAAAAGAAAAACAGAAGTTTCTCTTTTCAAATTTAGTAATTTATACAGGAGAAGGGGTTACTAGCCCCTTGCTCCCGGCATTTTAGTCGCTTCTTACAACACGCATGGCTTACGGAGGAAGAATTCTGTTCCACTTCCCCATGGAGATAAGAGGAAATAAACAAGAACAAGAACTAGAAAGAAAATACCAGAAAACCCAGAGGGGTGTGTATATATATGCTTGTACATGTATGTGTAGTGTGTGACCTAAGTGTAAGTAGAAGTAGCAAGACGTACCTGAAATCTTGCATGTTTATGAGACAGAAAAAAGACACCAGCAATCCTACCATCATGTAAAACAATTACAGGCTTTCGTTTTACAATCACTTGGCAGGATGGTAGTACCTCCTTGGGTGGTTGCTGTCTACCAACCTACTACCTTATTTCATGTAGACATTTATGTATAATCTCCATGGGGAAGTGGAACAGAATTCTTCCTCCATAAGCCATGCGTGTTGTAAGAGGCGACTAAAATGCTGGGAGCAAGGGGCTAGTAACCCCTTCTGTATAAATTACTAAATTTTAAAGGAGAAACTTTTGTTTTTCTTTTTGGGCCGCCCTGCCTCGGTGGGATACAGCCGGTTTGTTGAAAGAAAACAAGAATTTATGTATAAGAGAATGGTACTTTTTGGGTAATGTAAAAATTATGAATATTCTTTTGTAATACCAAAAAATATCTTTGAGATGAAAATGGAAAGTTATATTTAAGATAGTCCCTTAGAACTTTATATTGCAATGTAATTTTTAGCTGAGTTGGTTGATAGCATTTTAAAAAAGACTGAATACTACCATGGTTTAAAGGTTCATTTTTCTGGGTATTTTTGTATTCATAAATTTTAATATATATTGGTTATGATAATTGTAGTCACAGAGAGGTAATGTATGAGGTAATTATGCATGTATTAAGTTTTTGGATAGTAAATCTCTAACTTTCATTGAAGTTGTGTGTGTGCATGTGGAAAGAAAAAAAAGGCAGCAGTCTAAATACTATTTTAGAAACTTTTATATTCTATTGACTTTGTTTATGTCAGCTTGCTTACCTATTCTTCCTGTGCTACATTAATGCTGCTCTAGGGAAGAAGTTTCTATTATTTATAGAAGTGCATAGCATGTTTTATTTTGAGTTTTCTGTTTTTTTAACGTGTGGTGTGATATTGTGGGATGTGTTTTATACTTGCATGCCAGTTTCATAGCTGGGGTTGAGTTTGTTCTATGGTCATTCATGTCAATTTTAGTCAAGTTTACATCAGCTTTATACTATATGCTTGTAATTTTATTGATGTTCATATCAGTTTACTGCCTGTTCAAGTCAGGTTTTATACCATATTTGCATGTCAGATTTATACAGTAGTTATTAATGCCAGCTTTTTAACTATTACATATGTCAGTTTTATAGCAGTGTATGACAGTTTTATAGCTGTGTATGACAGTTTTAAAACTTTGCATGTCAGCTTTAAAGTTGTACATATCTATGACAGTCTACTGTGGTTTTAAAACTAAAAACAGTTTTACAGTGTACCTATTTTTGTCAGCTTTATAGCTGTATAAGTTTTATAACTGTAGAACAGTTTTAAAGCTGTGTATGTTTGCTTTATAGCTATGCTTGCCTTCTTTGTAGCTGCAAAAGCCAAGTAGAACACTAAAGAAAGTTTTCAAAGCGAGTTATTTCCACTGTTAACACATATTTTGCTATTACTCGTAATATATATTTTTATATTTTAATATTTTTAGGAGAATTCTTCACATATAAAATATGAGTGTTTACAAAAAAATGAAGTTTTATTACATATCAGTTATAATGTGATATTAACTTGATGAAAGTAGTTTAGTGGAAACAGTTTAGTGTATGTTGGATTTAATGGACAAAGTCCAAAAACAACGAAGAAAATCTGTTATTTCCTGAATTGTCCATTAATGTTATGGATTTAATGGGCAAATATGAAGAAATGGCCCCATCAGTAGAGCTGCTGTCCTCAATATCACTATTTATATACTGTATTTTTGTTTTTGAGTCATTATCTAAATTTAAGGAAAATTAAGTGTATTTGTAAAACAGGTGAAGGCAGTCTACTACATAATTATTCTTCACAGGCAATAGCTATTGTGCACAATAAAAGCAGATCGATTCACTGCCAGTTTGGTTTTGAGAGAGAATGCACAAATGTCTTTCAAGATTTATGTGCAATTTTTTTTATATTTGTAGCTGTAGATAGGTAGAAACTTGCATTACTTTTTTACTGGCTAAATACTTCTTTCAAGATGAATAGCAATAATCAAGAATGTAATTTCTGTGTAACAGCATGTAAGAGGATGAGTATGAAGAGCTTTATGATTTTACTATAATTATCTGTTTGAGTTTGTGAGGAGGTAGGTGAGCTGTAGCTCTTGGCCCTATTTCCTGACATTTGACTGATCAACACAAAGCACTATTTTATCTGTTGTTTAACTCTTAAACTGTCCAAACATAGATCTATGTTCACATGCGTAATGCTCCAAGAGTAGATCTACGTTTTTTTATATATTTTCAGATCTTTCTTTCAATGCACCAGCCGTATCCCACTGAGGTGGGATGGCCCAAAAGGAAAAATGAAAGTTTCTCCTTTTAAATTTAGTAATATATACAGGAGAAGGGTTACTAGCCCCTTGCTCCCGGCATTTTAGTCGCTTCTTATGACACGCATGTTTTACGGAGGAAAGCAAAGGGAAATAAACAAGAATAAGAACTAGTAACAAAAATAGAAGAAAACCCAGAGGGGTGTGTATAAATATGCTTGTACATGTATGTGTAGTGTGACCTAAGTGTAAGTAGAAGTAGCAAAACTTACCTGAAACCATGCATGTTTACGAGACAGAAAAATGGACACCAGCAATCCTACCATTATGTAAAACAATTACAGGCTTTCGTTTTACACTCACTTTGCAGGACTGTAGTACCTCCCTGGGCGGTTGCTGTCTACCAACCTACTACCTAGAATATTTTCAGATATACCAAAAAAAAAAAAGTAGATCAAAGTTTTTTTTACATGCTTTCAAATGTACAAAAAAAAAAAAAGATCTACGCTTTTTTACATACTTTCCAATGTTGAAAAAATGTAGATCTACGTTCGGACAGTTTAAGGGTTAAACTTTTGTATTTATTAATCTCACATTACTTCACTGTCCAGATTATTCCAGTAGCCTACTCACTTCTTTTATTAAAAAGTGTTTTTGCATGTTTGTGGCTCATTTGAGAGAGTAACTTCTTTCCATGAGACAAGGGACCTAGCTGTTGAATTTTTTTCCTTAATGCTCATTCCCTCTCAACTCGTGCATAAATCTGGACATACTTCTTTGAACTTTATCAAGTTTCATTGTCTTGGACTACATGAGGGTTCCACACTGGTGCTACCTACCCAAGAATAGGTTTCATGCATATGGGAAAAATATTGGAGCAGGTCTTCATCTTTATTTAGGAATGCCTGTCTTAGGTTTGGCAGCTTAGTACATGCTGGTAATTTTATTCTGTTTGTGTTTCAGGGATCAGATTTGAAAAAAGGATTAATCCAGGTTCTTTCTCCTTGACTGATTCCATGAGTTTATCACTATGATAGTCTCTCTTTGGTCTTCATTTCATGTGTACTAGTTTTATTACTTTGCTGTTACTGGAGTAAAAGCAACCAATTGTTTGACTAATCCTGAAGGATTAATAATGTATGCTACGAGCATTATAGAGCCCAGTACTGTGCCTTGGACTCTAATATCCACTTCGTCCTTTACTGCAACTCTTTGGTTTCCTGTCATTTAAGTAATCCTTAATCCATGCAGGCACCCTCCATGCTATCTAGACTTCCTTTTCCAGCCTTCCATGTGGTACTGTTTCAAAGGCTTGCATGAAATTGAGGAATATAAAGTCATTTTGGTGAACTCTATGCTCTCTAGGTAGTCAAGCAATAAGTTTTCTAGGAGTTTTTAACTCAATTTTTTGCCTTTAATGTTGGTGTACTGTGTTTGTTGGGATTGATATCTAGCTCCTAGACCCTGATTCATTAATAGTGAAATGTAATAAGGTAATTTAATCTCTCTCAAGATATTTCCAAACATAAATAATAGTTTTTCAATAGGTGTTTGATAGCCATAATGTTAAATGAAAACCCATATACTCTGCTGTACTCAAATATATTTTTAGGCTTACATATATTGTACTGCTTTCCTTGGGAATTACATTTTTCACATTTTCTCACCCTTAGTTCGTTGACAAATATTCCATTCCCAAATTTACCAAAATACATTATCACTGGTATATATCAGAAAGTTATAAAGGCTTTATATATGCCTTGTTTAACTACATTTTTCATGTATTAATATTTAGGCAATTTCTTACATTTTTTATTGACCCACCCATCAGTTTGCATTTAATATCAGTCTTTGGATAGTTGATTTGTCTGATATAGGAAAATAATAGAAGCTTTATATATTTACATTTGCATATATAATTATATTGAAATCTATTTTAGATTTACCTTTTACCATAGCCAGAAAACATTTGCAGAATCCTCATTTCGTTATTTTGCTTCATATGTTATCTATCAGATCAGTTTTTTTCTCTCAGAATAGTAATGTTAGACTTTTTCCATACAGCTTTTGGAATATAAATATAGTCATATTTGGTAAAGATTTTGAATCAGGTAAACATGAATTGTTTTTCTTTTAGATTTTTTGTGTAATAAATACAGGCATGTTATTGGGTCATAACTAGGACAGACAGGTGATCTTTTTATGCATGAAATGGAGCTGTAGAATAGAGATTTAGTAATATTTCAAGTGTCCTTGTCAGGAGGCTTATACAAGGTGTGACCAAGATATACCTTCAAGGTATATCTTGGTAATTTTTCACTGGTAGTCTTCCTTTCACTATCTGCTGTTACTTGCTGTACATTAAATGCTCTTTCCTTCAATATATATTTGAGCTGAGGTAAGCAGAAAATGCTCAATGGAGCCAGAGCTGGGAGATATCAGTGATATTCAAAGGTAAGAATGGTGTCTTCAGTCAAAATTTGATGCTCTCTGTTCTGCTTATTCTGGTGAATTGTCTTAGTGTGCATCAATGGCTTGCAAATCCTGATTTACTTTGGGACCTTATGACACAAATTCAGGGTGAAACAAGCCCTTATGGTTGAATTTTTTGTCTCGGCATTGTTTTCACATTGTTTTATAATTATCTGATCTAAATCAGTGCAATACTTGAGTTCTCCACTATGATGACTGCTGCTAGTTTCATGACATACTCACAGACTCATGCTTCATCAAAATTTGATAAATTTGCTTCAGAGAATTCCTTCATGCCTAGGCTGTCATTAATCCAGCTTTGATATCTTGTTTGACAAAGTTGATGTGCCAAATGCTGCCTTCATAATAATGTGTGTCTTCCTGCTTTCAGCAGATCTTGATGCAAACTTTTTGTTCATGCCAGTCATATATCATGAATGAATAACAATACCATTCCTGGAGAGGGTGAAACAATTCAATATTAACCCACAATTTGTAGAGGAAACTTGAGGTTATGTTTCATCTTCATATTTTACAAGTGCCATGTTACATAGCAATGAAAAGAATTTAGGGTGTGCATTTTAAAGAGATTAGTTGCAAAACCCTAGGATTTTTTTTTTTTCAGACGTAAGCATTTATACAATGTATTCAATTAGAATGTATTTCCCTTGTCATAAACAATATATCAGGTGTAAATGTATTTTTTATTGTACTATCTCTATAAATATATTAACCATGGTGACATTACACATCCCTGTCTAAGACCTACTTTTACCGGGAAGTAATCTCCCTCTCTTCTACACACCCTAACCTGAGCCTTACTATCCTCATAATAATGAATATTTTCCTTAATTTATAATTTCAGCACTATATAAAAGTAGCTTGTAATTTTTATTTTTTTTTTTTAACAAGTCAGCCGTCTCCCACCGAGGCAGGGTGACCCAAAAAGAAAGAAAATCCCCAAAAAGAAAAGACTTTTATCATCATTCAACTCCTTCACCTCACTCATACATAATCACTGTTTTTGCAGAGGTGCTCAGAACACAACAGCTTAGAAGCATATACATATAAAGATACACAACATATCCCTCCAGTTACAGATTCTGAAGTATTGTAGTCTTAATTGTATAGTGGATTGAACCTCTTATTTGAGAGCTCTGAACAAAGTCTATCTTATCTGTTATTCTGAGATTCTTATTTTCTTTGCAGCCCTGATAATGAACTGATATTTACTCTTATTTTGCATGATTCTACTCTGTGTGAATTGTCAAGCTGCAATTTCAGTTTGCCATATTCTGTTGGACTGTCCAGCCTATTAGTGAGCACGCAGAATTTGCCTTTGATGTCATCACTGCTCTACACCCTTAATTTATCTTCCCTCCTCACTGATGACTCCCTCTTTGACAATTTGACAGCAGCAGATTTATTACACAACCTTTGATTATACTTCCTTTAGCACTCCTCACTTCCCTTATTAACTCGACCCTGAAGCACTGTATGACACTGGTGGTTTAGTGCTTAGTTTTGATTCTAATAATAATTTGCATGATGAACAGGAATATACCAGTATATCAAAGGATTTATGAAAGGTATGAAAAGTATATTTATGTATTCGTATATGCTGTGTATGATTATAGCTACAACACATAGTGTTTGGCAAAAAAGAAATTCACTCTGAAATTCATTTTGATCTCGCCTTGTGTGTATTCACCTGGCTCATATGTGATAACTTAGTTTTTGTAGCTTCAGTAAACCTTTGCTTATGATATCCTGTCATAAATTAAGTTTTAAGTTTTTGTTGGTTGTGGCACATACTACCTTTTTCAACCCATTCCAGCTATGTATCACATTGTGTAGAGGTACTCTTTGCTATAGTGTCTTCTGATTTTTATTTTTGGCATTATATATTGTGGTTACTTGTTCTCCATTTTACTAGTTTTAAAAATCTTCGCTGTCTTTTTTTTCATGCATATGATTACCTATCTTTAACTACAGGGTCGAAGTTTGGTTTGTGGCTTGCATTTGTGTACACTCACCTATCTTTGCTTGCAGGTATCCAGCTTCTCAGCCCAGCCTCATAATTAATAATTTGTCTGGTGCAGTTCTTCCCCAGCACTATATTTATATTCAATTTTATACATGACATTTTTCTATTTTGTCCTCTAGAATGTACCATCAGTTGCAGCCACTTGCATTGAAGTCTCTCCGAACGATTTCCTCATGTCACCCATGTGCTCACTCTCTATTCATCTGCCCTTCAAACATGGCAGATATATATGCCTTGATACCAGTGAAGGGCTCTTCATCCAAGGATTCTGAGCTACTTTTCCCTTTCTTGGATCAAAATTAATTACCTAACATTCCACTCTTATGATCATTATAATTCTGCTTCTTTTCCTCTAATGACAGTAACCTGCTGTCATTTGGTGCTGAATTCTCCTGCTCTCATTTTTACTACCATTCCTTTGTTAGCCATTTTTCAAACTGGTCCTACAGCCTAATGCATCTATTTTTGCAGTGTGTTACATGCCTCATTCATATATACTTATCTCTTTGGCATAGGGAATTTGGGGTCTTTGTGTAGATTATTCCTTTATGCCAGATATTCTTTGATGCAAACAAGTACACTGATGGCAGGTACTCCTTCCATGTTAAGTGGGTTATACTCATTCTGTATATGATATTCTTCTGTATGACTGTCTTCTTTGAGATTTAATGTTTCACTTGGAAAATACTCTTGAATGCTTGAACAAGTTGTGTTCTAAATTTACTGATAGATCCAGAAGATTTGGTCAGCTACAGCTGTAAGTACACAGTATTAGCATAATGTCTGAGTTAGGCTATGTGATAGCCATATCTTGAAATTAGATTTAGAATTTTTTTTTTTCAGGGTTTGTAAGTGTTAAACAATTTTGGGAAACTATAATATGATCACCCTATGGATTACAGAAAAAAAAAATGAAATCAGCCTTAAAAAACCATACCCCGGCCGGGATTGAACCCGCGGTCATAGAGTCTCAATCGTGTCATTACGATTTCATGAGTCACATCAGCCTTGTTTCAAATACAGTGGACCCTCGAGTTTCGGCAGCATTGACTTTCGTGAAATCCGACTTTCTGCAAGTTTTTTTCGGCAAAATTTGGCCTCGGGTTTCGTGATTAGACTCGTGATTCGGCAACTGTCCGGTACCCGTCCGCCCGTCACCACGCACACAAAGCCAATCTCCCACGCCATTCATGGTCAGTGTGCCATTGTTTACCAACACGTGACCATCACCCCGCGGGTTCATACGTAATAATCCATTGTTTTTTGTGATTGCAACTGCTAAATAAGTCACCATGGGCCCAAGGAAAGCTAGTGCAAGCCCTTTGGTAAAGAAAGCGAAGAACACGATCCAGAGGGACTTTGAAGGGTTTGAGGCAGACCCTGACCCTGTCGACCCTCTGCCTGTCGTGGAAGGTGTTGTGGCATTGGCAAGTCCATGGGGTTGGAGGTGAGTGACGGGGATGTGGAAGAGTTGGTGGAGGACCACAAGAAAGAGCTAACCACTGACGAACTGCAAGAGCTTCAACTGGAACAGCATCAGACCACAGCTGAGGAACTTGCTTCAGAGGAGGAGGAAAAAAGAGTGAAGGAAGTGCCTTCTTCGGTGATTAAGGACATGTGTTCAAAGTGGAATGAGTTGCAAAGTTTTGTTGAAAAGTATCACCCTGACCAAGCTGAAACAAGCCATATCTGCAACATGTTCAGTGACAAAACCTTGTCCCACTTCAGGCAAATCATAAAGAAATGCCAAAAACAGACCTCTCTGGACAGATATTTTGTGTGACAGGGGTCCAGTGACTCTCAAGTTGTTCCCAGTGGCATTAAAAGAAGAAGGGAAGTAACCCCAGAAAAGGACTTGCTACCTGAAGTCCTAATGGAAGAAGATTCTCCTTCCAAACAATAGTGTACACCTTCCTCCTATCCCCTCCTCCCGTCTTCCATCCACCCAGAAGTCTTAAGTAAAGGTAAGTGTAATGTTATTATTATTTTTTATATGCATGTACGTACTTGATTTCTGATTGTTTTCAGTATGTAAATCTTTATTTAATTTGAAAGAAAAAATTATTTTAACATTTTTGGGTGTCTGGAACGGATTAATTTTTATTTTTTTTATTATCACACCGGCCGATTCCCACCAAGGCAGGGTGGCCCGAAAAAGAAAAACTTTCACCATCATTCACTCCATCACTGTCTTGCCAGAAGGGTGCTTTACACTACAGTTTTTAAACTGCAACATTAACACCCCTCCTTCAGAGTGCAGGCACTGTACTTCCCATCTCCAGGACTCAAGTCCGGCCTGCCGGTTTCCCTGAATCCCTTCATAAATGTTACTTTGCTCACACTCCAACAGCACGTCAAGTATTAAAAACCATTTGTCTCCATTCACTCCTATCAAACACGCTCACGCATGCCTGCTGGAAGTCCAAGCCCCTCGCACACAAAACCTCCTTTACCCCCTCCCTCCAACCCTTCCTAGGCCGACCCCTACCCCGCCTTCCTTCCACTACAGACTGATACACTCTTGAAGTCATTCTGTTTCGCTCCATTCTCTCTACATGTCCGAACCACCTCAACAACCCTTCCTCAGCCCTCTGGACAACAGTTTTGGTAATCCCGCACCTCCTCCTAACTTCCAAACTACGAATTCTCTGCATTATATTCACACCACACATTGCCCTCAGACATGACATCTCCACTGCCTCCAGCCTTCTCCTCGCTGCAACATTCATCACCCACGCTTCACACCCATATAAGAGCGTTGGTAAAACTATACTCTCATACATTCCCCTCTTTGCCTCCAAGGACAAAGTTCTTTGTTTCCACAGACTCCTAAGTGCACCACTCACTCTTTTTCCCTCATCAATTCTATGATTCACCTCATCTTTCATAGACCCATCCGCTGACACGTCCACTCCCAAATATCTGAATACGTTCACCTCCTCCATACTCTCTCCCTCCAATCTGATATTCAATCTTTCATCACCTAATCTTTTTGTTATCCTCATAACCTTACTCTTTCCTGTATTCACCTTTAATTTTCTTCTTTTGCACACCCTACCAAATTCATCCACCAATCTCTGCAACTTCTCTTCAGAATCTCCCAAGAGCACAGTGTCATCAGCAAAGAGCAGCTGTGACAACTCCCACTTTGTGTGTGATTCTTTATCTTTTAACTCCACGCCTCTTGCCAAAACCCTCGCATTTACTTCTCTTACAACCCCATCTATAAATATATTAAACAACCACGGTGACATCACACATCCTTGTCTAAGGCCTACTTTTACTGGGAAAAAATTTCCTCTTTCTACAATTCTCTAACTTGAGCCTCACTATCCTCGTAAAAACTTCACTGCTTTCATTACTATCTTTCATACACTTTCAACATCCCCACATTGCCCCCTAATCCACCCTTCTACGCTTTTACAAATCCATAAATGCAATAAGACCTACCGGTGACTCACAAATCACTTGTCTCACTTTTAGGGTTTCCTGTCCCAAACTAACTTGGCTCACCACCCTCCTTACTGCTTTCAGTAACCTCCTCTACACTGACACTTGCACATCTGCCACATTGCCCCCTATCCCCCTGTCATTCCCTTTTCAATCCATAAATCTCACAAGACCTCTTTACCGTTATCAAATACTGTATCACTTATATTTTTCACTGTAACCTGGTCCACACACCTCCCTACCTTTCCTAAAGGCTCCTGTTCATCTCTATCCTATTCTCCGTCTTACTCTTAATCTTTCTAATTATAACTCTACAACACTTACAGGTACACTCAACAGACTATCCCCATAAATTTTTGCACTCTCTTTTATCCCCTTTCCCTATCAAGGAACTATGCATCCTCTGCCAATCCCTAGGTACCTTACCCTCTTCCATACATTTACCTAAATAATTGCACCACCACTCACAAACTATATCCCCACTGCTTTTAACATTTCTATCTTTATCCCATCCAATCCCGGCTTGCCTTACTCCCTTTCATTTAATACCTCTACTGCCTCACGAACTTCCCCCACACTCACATGGCTCTTCCTCACTCTACAAATTTATCCTCCTTCCCTAATACACGAAATCACAGCTTCTCGCTTTTCATCAACATTTAACCAATTCCTCAAAAATTCCTTCCATCTTCCCAATACTCTAACTCTCATTTAATAACTCTCTCTCCTATTTAACTGCAAATCCATTTGTCTCTAGGCTTTCTTAACTTGTTAATCCACTCCAAAACTTTTTCTTATTTTCAAAAAATTTGTTGATAACATCTCACCACTTCTCATTTGCTCTTTTTACTTGTTCACCACTCTCTTAACTTCTCTCTTTTCTCATATACTCTTCCCTCCTTGCATCACTTCTACTTTGTAAAAACTTCTCATATGCTAACTTTTTCTCCCTTACTACTCTCTTTACATCATCATTCCACCAATCGCTCCTCTTCCCTCCTGCACCCACTTTCCTGTAACCACAAACTTCTGCTGAACACTCTAACACTACATTTTTAAACCTACCCCATACCTCTTCGACCCCATTGCCTATGCTCTCATTAGCCCATCTATCCTCCAATAGCTGTTTATATCTTACCCTAACTGCCTCCTCTTTTAGTTTATAAACCTTCACCTCTCTCTTCCCTGATGCTTCTATTCTCCTTGTATCCCATCTACCTTTTACTCTCAGTATAGCTACAACTAGAAAGTGATCTGATATATCTGTGGCCCCTCTATAAACATGTACATCCTGAAGTCTACTCAACAGTCTTTTATCTACCAATACATAATCCAACAAACTACTGTCATTTCGCCCTACATCATATCGTGTATACTTATTTATCCTCTTTTTCTTAAAATATGTATTACCTATAACTAAACCCCTTTCTATACAAAGTTCAATCAAAGGGCTCCCATTATCATTTACACCTGGCACCCCAAACTTACCTACCACACCCTCTCTAAAAGTTTCTCCTACTTTAGCATTCAAGTCCCCTACCACAATTACTCTCTCACTTGGTTCAAAGGCTCCTATACATTCACTTAACATCTCCCAAAATCTCTCTCTCTCCTCTGCATTCCTCTCTTCTCCAGGTGCATACACGCTTATTATGACCCACTTCTCGCATCCAACCTTTACTTTAATCCACATAATTCTTGAATTTACACATTCATATTCTCTTTTCTCCTTCCATAACTGATCATTTAACATTACTGCTACCCCTTCCTTTGCTCTAACTCTCTCAGATACTCCAGATTTAATCCCATTTATTTCCCCCCACTGAAACTCTCCTACCCCCTTCAGCTTTGTTTCGCTTAGGGCCAGGACATCCAACTTCTTTTCATTCATAACATCAGCAATCATCTGTTTCTTGTCATCCGCACTACATCCACGCACATTTAAGCAACCCAGTTTTATAAAGTTTTTCTTCTTCTCTTTTTTAGTAATTGTATACAGGAGAAGGGGTTACTAGCCCATTGCTCCCGGCATTTTAGTCGCCTCATACGACACGCATGGCTTACGGAGGAAAGATTCTTTTCCACTTCCCCATGGACAATAGAAGAAATAAAAAAGAACAAGAGCTATTTAGAAAAAAGAGAAAAACCTAGATGTATGTATATATATATATGCATGTGCGTGTCTGTGAAGTGTGACCAAAGTGTAAGTAGGAGTAGCAAGATATCCCTGTTATCTTAGCGTGTTTATGAGACAGAAAAAGAAACCAGCAATCCTACCATCATGCAAAACAGTTACAGGTTTTTGTTTCACAGTCATCTGGCAGGACGGTAGTACTTCCCTGGGTGGTTGCTGTCTACCAACCTACTACCTATGGGGAAAATGGTTTCGAGTTTCGTGAATTTCGACTTTCGGCAGGCTCCCTGGAACGTATTAATCACGAAACTCGGGGGGGGGGGTCCACTGTAATTGCTAGGTAACAAGATTCACTCTAAACTGCATTTTAATAGGGGCTTTGCCTAAAATCTCGATATTTCACTTTAATATCAGTGTACAAGAATC